TGTTTCCGTTCTTTGTTGTGTGTTTGTAAATTTGATATCTGAAAGCAGTGGGCAGCCAGACGGTGTATTCTGTTATGATGAGAGAGGAAACTACACAGCCAACAGCATCTATAAAGCCAACCTCAACACCCTTTTATCCACTCTCTCTTCCCACACACAAATCAACTATGGTTTCTACAACTTCTCTTATGGTCAAAATTCAGACATAGTCAACGCCGTTGGATTGTGCAGGGGAGATGTTGAGCCAGATGAGTGTCGCGCTTGCCTCAACCATTCCACAGGCAATCTCACACGGACATGTCCAAACCAGAAAGAGGCTGTTCTGTGGTTTGACAAATGCATGCTGCGATACTCGAACCGTACAATATTCGGCATCATGGAAACTGATCCTCCTCTTTACTCGTGGTACGGAAACAATGCAACCCAAGTGAATGAGTTCAATCAAGTGCTCTGGAACTTGATGGCAAACCTCAAAGCCAAAGCTGCATCAGGTGACTCTCGTCGTAAGTACGCCACCGGTAACGCAACTGCTTCAAATTTTCAAAACATATACGGTTTTGTGCAGTGCACCCCTGATTTGTCTCAGCAAGAATGCAATGATTGCTTGGATCTCGCTTTCTCAGAAGTCCAAACTTGCTGTAGTGGCAGGAGAGGAGCTAGAATCATGGCACCCAGTTGCAATATTAAATATGATTACTACCGCTTCTACCAACAAACCACGGAGTTAGACCCACAACTACCACCACTTCCTTCAAAAGGTACTTGTCATTATACTTAATTAACTTTACAATTATATATGACTTCATCATCCATTTCATCATTTTCCTCTTTGGCAAGTTTTGTTTTCCTTGTTCATCCTAATCCTATGCAGTTTGCTTATATGTATGTCTATTTTTATTGTAGTTTGTAATTACTAATTAGTTATAAACTTTTTGATATTTTATTATCCTTAATCAATGTCTGAACTAGCAGAGGATCCTTGATTTTGCAGAAACCGGCATCACAATAGGAATTGTCGTTGCCATAGTTGTGTCTA